TTTCTTTGAGGTATCTGATGACTATTTTTATTTTTGGTAGGAAATGTGTAGTCATTAATAAATGTCTGAATTTATGATATAAAGTGGGCGATTTTTTATTTTTATTTTTTTGGTTATAAAATGTCAGAATTTAAATGGTGTCAATCTTATTCGGTATAGATAGAAATGTATTTGAAAATTTTGAAAACAAAATAAGTGGTATGAATTTTATTTGGTATGAGTCTGAAAGACTAATTTTAGGTTGATTTGTTATAAAATCAAGCTGACATGATTCTCAAGATTTAGCATGTTTCTATTATAACTTGTCATAAAATGTTGATGATAATTCGCAAATTGATATGTATTCCACTTGAAAATCATAAATATCTTTGAACAAATATTGGTTAATAAAATTTAAAATTTATAATTTAATTCTAAAAAATTAGTTGATAAATTTGAACGATTAGGCAATCAACAACAAATATGTGTGTGTGTGTGTGTGTGTGTGCCTGTGTGTGTGTGTGTGTGTGTGTGTGTGTGTGTGTGTTTGTGTATGAAATATATAAAGTAATTTATTGTGTAGTCCAAATTTGGGTTCTCAATTTAAAAATTCAAATGAGTAATTATCCATAATTACTAGTCAATATTAACTTAGACGTAAATGAAATGATCAATTATAATATTTTATTAAATTATTCAATTACTTGGATTTTCTTATTAGTATTGTTTATACAAAAATAAATATATTTTTATTAATGGAACAATATAAGTTTTATAACTAGTGTGTATCCCGTGTAATGCAAGGACGGATTTTTTACTTAAAACCTTTTTGAAGACTTTATATTAAACATAGTTATTTATGTTTGACATCTCATTATTGTAAGAAAAGAAATACCAAATATGAAAAATTATATATTATTTATTTCAATATAATGAGTGTCCCCAACCAAACTAAAAACATCCAACATATGATATATGATAAAATTAATTATGTCATACTTTTTGAATATATATATATATATATATATATATATATATTTCTAATAAACATGATACATTTAAGATCCGCATTTAAATTTGTATTTGGATATGAGATGAAAAATTAATATGTGCTAAAAATATTGCTAATAACCCACATAAAATGAGATTATTTCTAAACTTTAAAATATTTTTATAGTTTAGTAAATATTGACAAAAAAATCATCAATTAAGTTGAACTATTTGAATATAAAAAATAATTCATGATATCATTGACCATATTTACCCGTTGTATAACATATTTAAAGATATCATTGACCATATTTTTATGAATTAAGGTTTACTAAATATCTTTTTCAAAATAATATTTTTTTTTTTTTAATTTGAATTTGACTTTTTCATCCAGCCGCCATTTTCCACAAAAAATAAAAAATAAAAATAGTATTTTTGAAAATTTTAGATGTGAAAATCAAATAAAATTAATTTAATAGTAATCAGTTAATTTAATATTATTCAAATTGTTTGATTAGGTCATAACCAAATTTGATTGGGCTTATAAAATGAAATTAGATTTTATACCTAAAATAATATACATTTCGTTTGATTTCCCATAACAAAAAAGATCGTGCTTATCACCTTAAACTCGATCCAACGTATTTTAGATTTTAAATATATAATAAGCAAATAATAGATGGGATCTACAATAAACTTAAAGTAAATAATAGTTGGAATTTTAAATAATTTTTAAGAAATAAAATATATTTTTTTATATAGTTGGATAATCGTTTAATTTCATTCTAAGCCAAAATGATTAGGCTTATCATATTATCATTTTAAGTTTTGCTTAATCCGCTTTAGTTTTTGATTTTGTAGTTATCTAATGTTAAGAAATTTTAATGCTTTGGATAATGTAGATTCACACGCTTCATCTCTCTCGCGAAGCCCCCCCCTCCCCCCTCCCCCAAATTCGAAAACCCTAGCTTCTCTTCCGTCTGAATTGCGCAGCCTTCCTCGGCGGCAGTGCGATGCCGGTCGGTGGTCGTGCTCAACCGCCATCCCTCCTCTGCTCGTGGACCTTTGGTGTCGCCTGTGACTGTCGGTCTACCTAGCTCTGTTCCCCGGCGAAGTTGAACTAGGAGGAGACGAGCACTTTGGTCGTCGACAGGTTAGCAATTGGTGGAGTTGTGGCCCGTCGGTCTCGATTGGAGTCTTCCTTTTTTTTCTGCTTTGGTTCCATATTTTCTGATATGTGTGCAAGCAGAAGGCCCTCATGTGGTCCTGGTTTGTCCGGCGATTTCTGCTTGGGGGTTTCTTCTTGTCCTGGTACCGGTGGTTGACGGTGATGTTGGCTGGTTCGTGGGTCATAAGGAGGGATGGGGCTTTGATGGTGTGTCGGATTTGAGGGTCCGAGCTGCCCCCTGTTTCGGCTAGTGGTATTAGACGACGGGGTTCATGCGCTCCTAATCTCAGATAGTGGTGTTAGGCATGCTTGGGGTCTACAAGAGGGGGTGCTGGTTCGGTTGTTCCTCCGGTTGAGGCGGGTCTTTTCGGAGATTGGTTTTTGTTCGGGCTCGACTTCTTGTATAGGCCTTGTGGCAGTTTCAGAAGCCGTTCCCTGGACTTGGACTATTCTTTGATATCGACTGTTCTCCGTGGGTTAGAACCGGCTGATTGTTGTGGAAGGGATTTATTTATTGTTATTTTGTGTCTTTTTTCTAGGCCTTCTGTAGTAGATATTTGTTTTGGTATGTGCTCTTTGCCGGTGTGTACTTCTCCTGTGTTTTTTGGTTTAGGCCGTATGCCCCTGTGAGCCTGAGTGTCAATTTATTATCATGTTGGGATCCGACACTGGAGTATTACCCTGTTGGGGTCTTTTAGTTTTTTTAGTTGTGTTGTTGGTTAGTTTAGTTGGGAGTTTTTTATTCTAGCGTTGCTAGTCGGGATTCTAGGTGGTCTTCTGACCTGTCCTCTCACTTTTTCAGTTGTTGGTTGTTGTTTATTCAGCCGTTGGCTGCTGTGTATTCGCACATTTGTGCATTTTGATTTATAATATTATCTATTTTGAAAAAAAAATAGTGTAGATTCAAAAAATCACAAAAAAAAAACTGTATATAATCTAAACTCAAATTCATTTTAATGTTGCATATGGTATTAATTTTATTTTATTGTGATGTAAAATCGTATTACGCATGTCTTGAATTATTGGTAGTCTTTCTTTTATTTTTAAAGTATCCTTAATGATATCAGCAACAATTGTGATTTTATTGCCTCGCGGATTTGTAAATTAAACCGGATTTATAAATCTTATTCTAAATTATTGAATATTTATTAGTTGTATAGTCGATTTATAATTATATATGCCTTAATTATGATTCTATTTCCAAACAAAATCAAATCGAATTTATAAATTTTAATTATTATTTTTTTTATAGAAATCTTAATCATTATTTTTGTACTGACATGATTTGTAAACCAAAGCGAATTTGTAAATCTTATCTTATTATGAATTATTGAAAATTGATCACATGAATTTAAAAAATTGATAAAAATGAAAAAGATTTTCGGATAAATACGTATATTAGAAAAGAATAACAAAACTGAATAAATTTTTAGTTGAAGTTGAATAAACAAAATTTGATTTGAAGATGGAACATAACATTGTAGAAAACCATTGGATATCTTTTATTTTTATTTTGTTTTTTATTAGTTGCAATTTATCTGAATGATATGTGAATTGGAAAAAAAAAGTCGTCTTTTGACAGATGGTTGGATGTATGTCGTGATTGTACATACTATGGTTGAGTGTAGACAATTTTATTTAATTTAATTTCCATTATTAATAATTCAAATTGTATGAATGTTTTTATTATTCTCCAACTTTTAATATCAATTTCCCATTAGGATCACATCATAAACATATAAATGGTATAAAGTAATAAATTTTTTAAAGTATTTGGCAGATAATATTCCAATTTTGACAATTCTATCGCTCCCCTAAAAATCAGAGGATATCACTTGAAATTTGTTTAATAATTAACAAATAACAATATCCTTTTAACAATTAACAATATCTGATTTTTTACCAAAATATTATCCGATTGTTTACCATATCAGTATCAATTAACAATATCCGATTTATTACCAAAATTTTATCATCTTAATTAACAATATCCGAAATCTAATTTAAACAAATTGCATGGCGAATTTCGAGCATATTGCATGGGTGAATTATTTCAAACAAATTTCATGAGCGGGAAAAAGCAAAAAAAAAAAAAAAAAAAAAAAAAAAAAAAAAAATCCGAAAATGGTAAAAAACGAAATACAAAAGCGAGAAAATGAATTATTTATTTTGATTTTTTTGAATAAATTTTCTTAACTGTATTATATAGTAATAGATTATATTTATTATTTACCTATATTTTTAAATCTATGGTAAACTTTTACCAAACAATTATTTTATAGTATGACATTATAGTCAAATAGAAATTCATAATAAAAAATTTAAAATGACACTTATTTTGAAATGAATATAATATAATTTACTATCAGTTATGTGCACTGTAAAGGTTGTGTACTAATTTTATATAGACATGTTTTATGTAATTTTAGACAATTAAATTTCTTTATTTACTATCAGTTATGTGCACTGTAAGGGTTGTGTACTAATTTTATACATATTTACTTTATACTTTTAATTATAAATGTGATTAACACTATAGTATAATCACCAATGTAATCATAGAATTACCAACATAATTGTTATAATAAAAACTGTTGAAACATAATATAACCCTTTATGGGTATTTCAAATACAACACTTTGTGCATGAAAGTTATAATTTAATTACAAAAATATAATTGTTCAAATTCCAAAAAAAAAAAAAGAAAAATAAAATGGTCCTCCATCCACCACCTATAAATCCAATACCCATACCCCTCATTTTCCAAACACACAATCAATTCCCATCATCATCAATCATCATCATTTCACACATACATACACAAATATATTAGTTGTTGCAAGCAACACCAGACATTCGAAAAATGACCAAGACCAAGGGCGCCGGTGTTGCCATTTGCCTGGCGGCGGTTGTGCTAGTCGTGGCGGCTCTGGCCCACGAGGCGGCGGCCTTGACCTTCACCTGCGACGGTCAAACCCAGCTCTACCTTTGCGCGCACTCCCTGCCTCAGCTGCCCATGCCCCCTTCGGTCGCGTGTTGTCGGGCGCTTAAAATGAACCAGAAATGCATATGCGAATACTTACGTGACCCAGTCGTGAAGAGCCTTATCCCTGACTTGGACGACGATATCAAAGCCTGTAATCTCCCTACCATAATTTGCCCCCTTTGATTTTATATATCCAGTGCATGTTCGAGTGATCAAGAATAATGTGGGACAAAAAAGTTCCGAGTTTTGGTGTAATAAAAAAAAAAAAAAAAAAAAAAAAAAAAAACAGATCATCAATATATACATATATATTACCTCTGTTTCTCATGTTTCAAATGGTAGTAATGTGTGCTATGAGTTATGATCCAAGTCAATCGGTTGTTATAATTGGTTGAGTCATTTCATATCCGATCACCTAATTTAAAATCAAATTCAACCCAACTTTATTAATTTTTATAAATATAATTAAATAATATCAATCAATTATTCTGACACGTTACATAATTTTTAATTACCTATTCGTCAACTAACATAATTTTAACTACATATCACTTCTTATAAATTCTCTCCTATATTTACATCACGTTAACTTAATTTAAACATTACATTTTAAATATTATTTAATTTCAAATCTACTCTATTCCAAATAACTCGTTTTAAATTACCAAGTTGGATCATAACCAGTTTAATTCATATCCAATCGTGTCCTAACTCTTTTCGAAAGTAATAGGTTTATGTTGAGATTTGAAAATGCAATTGACGATTCTAAAAAATATTCTCCTTTCTTTATTGTTTGTTATTACGTTTATTGGTTCCTCATTCACAGAGTTATTTTTTAATTCAATTTTTTTTTTCTTTAATAATTTTAGTAATTATAATTTTTATTTATATGTCATTAATTTATTTATATACACTTTTAATAAATATAATTAATTTTATTGGAATATGACTAAAATTACTTAAACATATTATTGATAGAAATATGATTTTTTTTTTTTTTAATATAAGACATATATAATTATTATTTTTATGTGTATACAATAGTTATATGAAACATAGATTGAATGAAAATAATAATTGAAGTTGCAATTTTAAAATAAATATAATTATTACATATTTTAGTAAATATAATTAATACATATTTTAAATCTTAAAGTATGATTTTAATACAAAAATAAATAGAGAACCCATTAAAAAATAGGTTCAAGAGATTTATTATTATTGGAAGTTTGCGGGTGTACGAGTAAGAATTAAGTTTTGGATGATGAAACACATCGAGAAACGTAAAAAAAAAAATTATGGGGTTTAATTGATAAAGTTTCTCTAGTAAACTATTGTTGAAGCGTGGATATAACATGAATTGTGTATAAATGATATACTGGAAATCACACTCTTGTGCTTGTCTATATGTATGACTGACTAAACATATTTTAAGATTTAAAATATGTAATAAGATAAATTAAAAAGCTCTATAGATTTAAAAATACATTGATTAATATACTGAATAGCCTATTATTAAAATAAAGTTTGAAGCCAACTGAAATACAGATAGATATATGACAATAATACAACTATAAATAATCACTACAACAGAGGTTGGTTCAAGTGGTAAGCAGCTTGATGCCGCTTAAGCAATGTCTCGAGTTCGATTCCTTGTGAATGCAGAAAACTCTTGTTGGGAGACTCACCCACCACTGCCAGGTGTACGACGCGGGTCGATCAACAGATTAGTCGGGACATAACTCTGGATACCGTGACCGTCTAAAAAAAAACTATAAATAATCACCTTTTAGACGGACTCTTTTCTCCAAAGAAAATATCGAGACAAAAGTGTATGAGGTGGAAATGGAAAATAATGTAGCACACTAGTCATTGTATTTAAACAATTTTTGTAGGTTAAATCAATTGTAGGATTGACGATTTCACATGCGCGGGTGTGTTTGTGATATAATGGCTCAATGAGGGCAAGAAGTGTATGTAGTTTAAGATAAACTAAGCACAACTTAAAAAAAAAATAAAAAATAAAAAAAAATATATATATATATATATTAATGACTAGTAGTAAAATTGCTTTAGAAATCGATTCTAATATATAAATCCTAGTTATAAGCTACATAAACAAGCAGTCGTTGTAGTATAGTGGTAAGTATTCCCGCCTGTCACGCGGGTGACCCGGGTTCGATCCCCGGCAACGGCGAATGTTTTTTTATTTTTGAATTTTTTTTTTTGGCCCTTTTATGTGTGTAAATAAATTCTGAAAACTAACCAATAAACGCTGTCGTTTTGCTTTTGGGTTGTAGCACCAATTTATTGCGAGGGAGGGAGAGAGAGAGAGAGAGAGAGAGAGAGAGTTCCTCAATTCGAGCTAGGTTGAGATGGGGCACAGAGAAGCTGCCGGTGACGCAACAAGCAACAGCGATTTGGATATTAGCCTCGAAGGCGGCGGCGACGGCGGCTTGCGTAGTTTTCCTCTGGCGGCTCAGCCGGAGATAATGAGAGCAGCTGAGAAGGACGATCAGTACGCTTCTTTTGTCCACGACGCATGCCGGGACGCCTTCCGCCATCTCTTTGGTACTTTATTTACATCAATTTGTTCCTCTTACGTCGCACACTCAACTGATTTAGAACTGCGGCCCAATTTCTTAGTAATTGCCTTATCTTTCCAGGTACGAGAGTTGCCGTTGCGTACCAGAGTGAGGTTTTGCTCTTGTCCCTCAATTTCGTTATTAGCTAAAGCTGATACATCTGCTTTCTATGTGACATTTGTAGCTTTACTATTCTGAACTCATAACTCAATAATTTTATTGGATAACCTGCAGTATTTGTATGCCGTTTGTTGTCTCAATAGCATAAGAATTCATACAATATGAATGCTGTATTTGCTAAACAGCGGAGCACAGAACAATATCGTGTTCTCCCGGGCAATGCTTTTATATGCCATTCGAAATTGTTCAAAATTGGGTTCTTATTTAATGGATATGAAATTTTCGATTCCAGCTCATGACTGTCATGAATGATTTGTCTCATTTAACTGTGGGAGCTACTTGTTATCCGTGTTCATTTTGCTATCTCTTACTATAAATGATTGTAAGATTTTTTTTTCTTTTTTTTTTTAGAGTAGGTGCCTTATTTAATTTTACACGTTTATTCTATTTTCTTGTAGATGAAACTATTAGGGCAGATGCTCTATTATGTCTTAACAACTGGTGCAGGGAAACAGACCTTAGGAGAAGAATATTGTGACATTACACAGGTGCGCATCTTTCGTTGTCGTCTTCCCGAGTGTTAATGCATGAGGATGTGAATGATGCTCACACATCTTTGGATGCTCATTTAGGGTGTGCGTGTATTTTATGTGCGACTTTCTTATATTAAGTTCAGAGATGCAGAGTGGAGATACTTTTAATAGGGTACCATTGTGGTTATTGTTATCCTGCTTCTGTTCCACGCTCTTTATGCCTTATAGTTGAGTTGTAAATTTTTTTATTTCATCACTCTGTAAATCTTCGTTTGTTTGAGCAATGCTCGAACATGTACCATTAACCTCTTTGCCGCTTCAACTTTAACTGAATAATGGAAAAGATGCATAGAATTAGTGGTTTCTTTTACAGGTTGCAGGAACCCATGGACTCCCTCCAACCCCCGCTAGGCGTTCACTTTTTATTCTTTATCAGACAGCATTCCCTTATATTGCTGAGAGGATAAGGTTGTTCTACCTTTCATGTTACTTGAAACTTTATAGTGCTGGTAATAACAGCCACTTACTTTTTATCCTGTTTACAGTGCCCGTATTGCTTCCCAGGGCATCACCATGGGCGATTCACTGCCTGATGATGTCATGAACAACGATAATAGCTTAAATGATCAAATTCTGGCGTCTGCTAGTGCAGAAATGTCGTCATCCTTGAATTTGGGCGCACGAGTTTCAGCTTGGTCGAGATTGAGAGCTCGGATTTATGGGTTATGGTTGAATGCAGTTCGGAGGTGGCCCTCAGTATGTTATCTCACATTCTCAGCTTGTCTTGTGTACTGTGTACAAAAGATTTATTTAGACAAATCACAAGTTGTTGAATGAGATTGTTTTCCCAGTTCTCATGTTTGTAGAACCATCCATGAGGTCCTGTAATTTCATAATGGTACCTACTGACATATACAGGTTCTTCCTATAGCCCGCGAGTGTTTCATGTTGGTTCTCCGCACAAACCTCATGTTTTTTTATTTTGAAGGTAAACTATTAGGCTCAATGCATATCTAAAAGTAAAATATTGATTTGAACAAACGGAATGCTATTTTCTCTTGTCTGTCTCGTGTTGCTTCCCTACTCACACTCACACAGGTCTTTATTACCACTTATCAAAACGGGCTGCTGGGATTCGTTATGTGTTTATTGGCAAACCAAGTAATCAACGGCCTAGGTACATCTGCCAAGTATAGCTGTAAAAGTTGCTTCTAGTTTCTTCGTGACAACTAGGTTTGATTTATCTATTTTAAGCAGATATCAGATATTGGGGGTTTTCCTTCTGGTTCAGCTGTGTATCCTTGCTGCTGAAGGATTAAGGAGAAGCAATTTATCATCTTTTGCTACCTCACTTCAAAAAACATCTTTTGGAGCTTATCAGACTTCAACCGGTGACTCATTTTTTTATTTTTTATTTTTCAATTGCCATGTGGATGGGTCACTGGCCGGCCGTCAGTTTTGATTCATTCCATTTTCCAGAGCTAAAAAAAACCGAGTGTACCTTGTTATAATTCGTCATAGGATGTTGGTTATTGCCTGATTAAATACAGAATCTTTATTGGTGGGATGATGCTAATTTCTATAAGAAATTTTACATATTAATATTATTGTTGCAGGAAGAAGTTTACCTATCTTAAACGAGGAAGGCAATCTGATAACCGAGGACTCTGTAAAGGCTAGCCAGGTTTCATTATCTGCATCTACTTCAGAGGTATACTTAATCATTTATTACCTAATAATTGTTTTTCTCTGCAATTTTTCAGTCTTAGAAATGCTTATCTTTCTCAGCCTCAAGTAAGTAGCCTGAGCAAATGCACTCTCTGCCTAAGCAATCGGCAACACCCAACAGCTACTCCTTGTGGTCATGTATTTTGCTGGTATTGGCTCCAAAAGACTGCTAAATTTGTTCTTCTTTGGTTCGTAACTTTGCACTTAAGTAGCCAAC